TGAGCGCCCAGCCCATCTGAGGCTTGCCCGGTCCCGCTCAACAACAGGACTGGGCGGTCGCTTCTACACGTGTGGCACGCTGAAACTGATGCGCGCAACGAACTCGATAACGTGCCCAAAAGGGTACTTCATTGTATAGCTTATCCACGATTCACGGAGGAGTTCCCAGTCAATGTTATTCTTGCAACATCACCTTCCACCGGACGATATATGTCCGTTAACTATCACCTGGACGCGGCAACAACGCACGCGAAATGGCTGTTGGATGCCCATGGCCCATTGGTCTTAATTTCCTATCTTGCCACAAACGCAAGGTTGGGTGGTGGACTTTCAAACCCTGGCTGCAACCTAGAGCATGAGCCGAGGAAGAATGTGTGCATCTATCGAGGCACCACATACATTGGCCGTGAAGGGTGTTTAAAAATTAAATTGATACGGAGAACGGATACCACCAGCATAAAAGCTCACTCCTGAATGTTATCTGTTCCTTTTGTGCTATATATATATATGTAGTGCGTGTGTGTATATAAATAAATGTGCATACAAACACATACATATAACATATATCATATATATATATATATACACAATACACACAAATGCTTTTGCAAACCCTTGCACCATGAACGGTTGATTTCCGTTTGTCAGGCACGGTTGGGACCCCGCGGTAGGACTCAAAGGGTAGTACCCCACAGTTGAGGTGTTTAAGGGATAACTCCTTGATAAAGAAAATCATCAGGGTCTCAGGGTCTTGATAAAGAAAGTCTGCCAACATACTTGGGATTTAGTTGATTCATGTTTATATGTTATATTGTTCATTTCAATTCATTTCATGTTGATGATGCTATTCTGTTGAAATTGCAAGAGACCCAAGAGAAGAGTTCCGAATGACAAACATGGGAGATCTAGCACCCGGTGTCAATCTTACATAATGTCACTGCTTCAATAAGAGCATCACTGCCAGTCATCTCCATTCAAACAAATCCGCCAGCCCCACGGCCCAGTCCCAGTAGCTTCACCCCACAAACGATAACACTCTGATAACACTCTGAAACACTGCATAGTCCCAGTAGTCCCAGTACTGATAACACTCTGAAACGGCCGCACAAAGCAGCAAAACACCCCACGATTTGGCCGCCACCGGCTCCGCTCCCGATCGGCTCCCCGCACGGCCAGTCTTCGACGATGCCGGCGAAAACGCGCCAGGCGGCACGTTGATAGGTACTACTGGTAGCAAGAAGCTACTAGTAACAAGTGCATCGCTGGTAACAAGGGCATTACTACCACTAACAAGAAGCTTAAACGCGCCAAGCGGCATGTTGATAGGTGATGCCCCTCCGATCTTTGAGGCCATGGACGTGAACGTCCTCCCGTCGCAAGCGCCAACTCCTCGCCAGCATGGCGCGAGCGTCTGCCACGTCGCGGTTCTCCTGGACGGGAGGCGGGGAAGTAGGGAGTTGGAAGATGAGAGGGCCGAAGCCTGGCTTCAAGAGAAGGAGGTGGAAAGAAAGCGCAAGTGCCTTTCCTAATATGAAACATGCAACCAAAAGCGATCCGCATAACATACCAAAGTCTAAAAATTTCATATGAACACATGATAGCACTGTTACACCAAGCTCCACGTTCTACCATGTGAGCAGGAAAGGCCTTCCCAGATCTATGACGCGATTGAGTTACTTGGCTACCTCCCAATGAAGAGCCCCAAGCCACGGCTACTAGAGTTCTTGACACCTTGGAATGTTAAAACATGTTCAAAAACTGTGGTTGGACCAAATGCTTGTCAAAAAACAAGTTCTCCAGTGCGGGGTTCACGTGGGTTCCCCCCGACGATGTACACTTGAACCCATGTCAAACCTGCGATGTGTGGAGTTTCCCATCGTTGAATCTGTTTGACTGGCAAAGGGCATCGCTACGGAGCAAGGACGCTACTAGCTCCTGGCCTTACTACTAGGAACGAGCTACTAGGGGCCCCTGGCCCTACTACTAGGAGCAAGGACGCTACTAGGGGCTCCTGGCATCGCTACTAGGAACAAGAAGCACATCGTTTTGGCCGTTTCGATTGGAACCGTCTCCGTCCTTGGCCAAGACCATCCGAGCCACTGGCCCTGCACCCGCACTCTGTTTCCAGCGCTCCCACTGCCCCAGGAGATCCACATCCTCCAACTCCACCACCTGTCTACTGTGGGAGGTCAAGGATCGTAGAGGTCACTAGTCTTAGATGAACTCCTGCTTGGATCTGCTGGTTAAGGTCAGGAACGGTAGAAGTCTAGAGGTGCCAACCTTGACCCTTTCACTCCACCTGGCTTTTTGGCCTGATTTATCATGCTGGGTGCAAGTGCTTATGAACTCTGCCCACACAAGAATGCAGAAACTACCACGTTGAGTACGACCATACCCACCGAGAAGTGTAGAAAACTACACCACCAACGTCACGGCTCGATTGCCTCGCGAGGTTCGCCAGCGAGAACATCGCTGCGCACCTGCCCCTCTTGCGACACTTCCTTCACCACAAAGTCCTCATACCTCGCCTTCACAGTGCCCCAAATCGCCTGAGGATTCGCCAAGACCCGTCCGCCCAACGGGAAACAGCCGCTCACTCGGCACGGGTTTAGACTTGAGAGAGGAGGGGGGGATGAACGAAAGGTAGCAGGCAATCACAAGTAGCCCTGGTAGAAGTCCATGACGGCGTGAACCGGCGCAGGCGGGATTTGATCCGGGGGGGGGCCCCCGACGAACAGAATCATCTCTTACAGGACCAAACTCAATGCACAATCCCAACTCCTGATTGTAATACATTTTTGATCATTTTTGCTAAAGCAAGGAGAACTCAGGTAGCTCAAGCTACCTTTCCTGATTTATGCCCTCAACTGCCAGCTCAGCAGTGAAACACAAAAGTTGGAGAATGACGCATCTATATAAAACCATAAAACAGCATCTAGAATCTAAAATGATCTAAAATGGATATGATATATAGCGCTATAATCCGTTTTCGGAAAAACTCTCTAAACCTACATCAATGCAAGGTATGGAGCTTGTGGAACCAAAAACAAAAGTCTGGTCCGTCCAACGGGCCGGCACCTTGGAACTCCCAACCAAACACGTGCTCACAAAAACCTCCTGCAACGCGTGCGTTCTCATTTCACCCACAGTGGCTCTGCCCCGCCGTAACTTGGGAAAATTCATCTGAACAAGTCTGCCGACCCTCAGCTGCCAGAATCCATAGTGTCGGACAAAACACCCTCCAAAGCCGTCGGTGAGACTGTTTTATCGGGGTCCCCACAGCTTGTCACAAAAACAATCCAAAACAGTGAACATTTAGTTTCAGCCCTGCCGTCGTTGATTGCTGTGACCCAACCAGAAACAACTCCGCTAGCACAAGTTGCCCGGTGCTCCCCAAGCAGGACTGGCTCCGCTGGCGCCCGCAACGTCCGGAGATGCCGCATGGCGACTTTGAGCCAAGGAGGTAAAGGACCGGACAACCCCACATGGCAAGCCTTCCAAAAGAAAAAGTGACGAAAGAAACGGACAAATAAAGAAGTGGAAAGTTGAATAATTTCATGCCGGTAAACACAAAGGAAGAGATGGGAAAAGGACAAACAAAAAGTCAAGAAGGTGGAGTTGAGTTGTGAGAGTTGAGTTGAAGTGATAGTTGAGTTATATAGTGGATTAGAGCCGAGTTGGGTGTAATTAGACTCGAAAGTCCACGCGCGATTCAATCATCCACGCACACAAGGATCATGATGCATGACGCTGGATCGCCACTGCTGCGGCATCTGGCCACTGCACCACTCCTGCTTAGTGGCACGTAAAGACTGTGCAACCTGACGCGCACCTCCCAAGCAGACGGCAAGAGAAGGCCGCGGCGCCATTTCCCAGGCAATCATTGCGGGCAAGCCGCACCAGCGAGCCCTCTACGTGGCAGCAGGTGCAGCAAAACACGCGCTGAAAGCGGAGTTGGTTGAGTTGATTGAGTTGAGATAGGTTGAGTGGTAGAGTTGAAATGATGAGTTGGATTCAAAGTGGCAGAGTTGAGGTGATGAGTTGAGATATGTTGGATTGAGTGGAGTTGAGTGGTACGGTAGTGTTGAGATGATGAATCACGTTGAGTTGAGTTGCGTTGATTGGTTGTTAGTTGAGTTGAGTTGATTGCGTTGCTGATTGAGTTGGATGACGAGGGGAAGGAAGGAAGGAAGGAAGGAAGGAAGGAAGGAAGTTGATGAGAAGATGAAGAAGATGAGTGAGTGAGATGAGAGGATTAGAGAAGGAGGGCGGGAGGAGGCGGGAAGGAGGAAAGAGGATGTGTTCGGCAAAAACAAGAACCCCACACAAGAATGTGGGGAATAAAAAGAATGAAGGATCCAACATGATGCAACAGGTGCGGAACCTGGAACGGACATTCATTGACCTCATCATACACATGGTGCTTGTTTAGTATAAAATTACACATAGAGTTAGAGGTGCTGTCCATTCAAGCCTGTGGTTTTGAGGCACCGGGTCTTTGTGGGGATGAGTGCAACGGTGCGAAAAAGCATGCACTTCCTACACACGTCAGGCAGCCCCTGCATTCAGGAATCATCCTTCTGGCAAAACAATATTGCGTTGCAGGAGTTCTTCTGATTCTTTGTGGCAGCTGGGGTTCTTAAGGTCACTTCTGTACTTGCATCTTTTTTGTCGGGTCGGGTAGATGATCCTTTAATGCTTTCTGCCATCATTGGGATAGATGGCCAACATCCCTCAGACAAGGTGTTGGTCGCACAGCTTCGGATGCTTCTTGGCAGGGAGGACAGGACCACTGGGAATCTGAGGACAATTTATGGCAGTTTCTCTCTCAGAAAAAAAGGACAAGAAGCTATATACTAGTAACAAAGGGCATCGCTACTAGGAGCAAGGACGCTACTAGCTCCTGGCCTTACTGCCACTGCTAGTAACAAGGACGCTATCAGGGCTTCTTGTCAACCTGATTGCACGCCCTTCCAGCCCCTTTCGATCACTGCTCCGGCCTGGAGAGGCGGCCTGCAGGAACTCGAAGCGTTCCTTGGGCAGCACAAAGCTCCGAGGGAGGCACCTCGGGCAGCGAGTCGGTGGAGGTGAAAGCTCCGAACGCGCCAAAATGGGGCGCCAGGGGCTTGACAGTCGACAGTTGGAGCGCCCAACAAAATATACATTGGAGCGCCCCGATTGCGGGATCCTCCCGGTCTCTTTAACCAAAGCAGGACCAGGACAACGCAGGTAAGGTCTGTGTTCGACCTTGACTTCTGAACCTTAGATCAGCCTGGGGAGTTGCCTCGTCTTTCTATCATTCGCGCATCGACCATGTGTGCCATGAACAACCCGCCACAGACTTGCAAGTCAGCCTCTAGGAAGTTCAATAATGTTGACTCAGTGAAGCCCGGCTTACATACCTCTCGTGACATATGTGCTACACATCCTTGCCACTAACAAGCCCTCTGCAGGTAAAGGAGGGCCAAATGATTGCAACTATATAACTTGAACTCAGGCTGCCACTCACGCTGCAACCACTTGCAAGCTGCAAGGTAAGATGGGGCACCCAAGACTCCAGTCCCAGCAAAAATGGGTTTGAAATGGGGTTTAGGTATATGATTTCAGTCCATGGCGAACCCTGGACTGGCAATTCCCCTTTGACCCAAAGAACCCATCAGTCTCCAACTTGGAGGGGTTGAAACGTCTTGCACTTGCCAGTCCCAAACCCGTCTCCAGGGCACAAAAGCTGCAAGATCTCTGGGTGGACCTGTCTGGGCTCTTTCCGTCACTTCACCTCGCTCATCAGCCCGCCATGTGTGGCTTACACGGGTGCCACACGGGTTTACATAGCAGGCCGTGCGAACACGCCACAGTTCGCACGGCCGAACGGTCCGCGGTTGCACATTGCTGCAAAGCCTCTCGACCACAGGCCCCCCCCCCCAAAAAAAAGCCGTTGTACAACACACGAAGATTGACCACAGGCCGCTGTTTTGTGACAACTAGCATTTTCAACACATGTTTAACACCTGCAGTGATGACTACAGAACACAGCAGCGGCAACAACAAGAAACATTTAAAGTAAAAAAGCATAAAAAAGCTACAAACTGTTTGTGCACTGCTCACACACGCGCACACACACACACACACACACTGCAATGTCACCAGCTTATGCAACCTTACGCGACTGACAGATTTACGCACAGTGTTCTCGTGGGCAGGCCTTACCTGCTCAGATGGTGTGCCAGACGGGCCAAACGTTTCTCAGTACGAGGCTTAAGCGCGCACGCAAGAGTCTCGCGTGTAAATGGCCTGCGCACTGGGCAAGCGCGAGAAAGTTGAAATGGCCTCCCTGTAACAACATGAGCCTGAAGAAAGGATGGGCCAGAATTCCGGTACGATCCCTGCTGCAGGAAGCGTCCAGTGAGCACGTTAGCCCATCGTCTCACTGTCATACACTTTGGCGCCAAGTGCGTTGGCCCCAACACGCTTGACATGAAGGCTGTCGGGGTGAGACAGAACGAATCGACCTCCGGTAGCCCCCCATTGTCCTCATGCTGCAGCCCCACACCCGGCCAACGGTGTGGCAAGAGCCCATCGGGTTTGAAGGTCCAAAACCCGGCGCCAAAGCTCTTGCTGGGTTGGGCAAATGGCCTCCCCTGTAACAACCATGAGTCAGAAGAAGGACCCCTAACGCGAGAACCTTCTGCTCGACCTGAAGGCTGTCGGGGTGAGACGGAACGAATCGACCTCCGGTAGCCCCCAGTGTCCTCATGCTGCTGCCCCACACCCGGCCAACGGTGTGGCAAGAGCCCATCGGGGTTGATCTTGCTGGGTAGGGCGAGTTGATGTTCGCATTGTTGGCACAAAGAGTGCTCTGAGCCGACGTGCTTCCCAGCCTGCCTGCGCATCTAACAACGTTGCAGAAGCCAACTAGATATGAGGTGAATCCCTCAATTGATAGAGGCAGGACAATGTGGGAAAGCATGCGGTGCCCAAATCATTTGCACACCACCACTTATGCGCGGCTCACCTTCGGAATCTGAAAAAAGGTGGAAATCGGTAGAAAATATACAATCGTATGATAGGGCAACCGAGACTTCAGCAGTCCTAGCAAACGATTGAAGTCAACGCCCCAGCCCTGAACCATTTCCCTCTGGACATGGTTGGACAGAACTTGCCTCTCCGTCTTGAGGGCCCGTGCCGCTGAAGCCGCAGCGTCGCACAGAGCCGGTGCTTGTGCGAGAGCTCCACCGAGCCTCGGGCGGCCCGGGCCGGCCCGTGGAATGGGAAGAAACCGGTTGGTTGTCAATGTTGTTTCAACATGCCTTCCGAGCGATGATGGTACAAGTAGATGCACTTTCCCTGCCTTGTGATTATCATTTGGCAAAAAGACTTGCGATCGTGAGAGTGAGTAGGGTAGATGAAGCAGGCAGGATTCGAGGCGGGAGTGGCTTAAAACAAGCAGACCTTGGCATGGTGAGGGCCATAGAGAGTTACCATGAGTTACCCATACTTCTTATTGTTCAATGGGCCCTGGCCCCCAGCTACAAAGGACCCAACGAGGAATCTGGCAGAAACATCACCATCTGCGGGTTGCTGCAACCTTGTACTAGTCCTCTGATTTTGATGTCCGGTCTTTCCACTGGGTGAGTACTCAGGATTCTCCGCACTTCCAACGCAGTCTGCTAGCATGTTGAAGATCTGCTATGATCCACCTTCCAAATCCCTTGCCACCAAGTCTCGAGGAAAGTGGTTGATGAAGCAATGCCCTGACATTTTCAGCTACGCTTTCGAGGTCTTTTGGCTACGCTGCCATCTGCAGGCCACTGTTTTCAAGGGTTTCTGTTCTGATTCCCGGCAAAACTGGCAGGGTTTGTGTCACCTCTTTCGCAGGTGGCACGTTTACACTGAAAACGCCAACTTTCCCCGAAGTCGAAGTTGGTGCGGGACAATGACAGCCTCAGCCTCCTGTCCTTTCAGGTTCTGTGCCACACCCGCTTGGCTAGCGGCCAGCTCACGAGCACAAAAGTGTAAAATCGGGGTTTCATCGTCTGTTTCTGGCTCGCCACTTGATGTTACAAACACAATTACTGAGATTAGACATCCAGAAATGGAGCTTTCTCAAGAGTTCTCCCGTGGGCTCTTCAGCCGATAGGTCGTCCGCGGTCAAGGCCGTCGTCGCGTTTCGGCCGCCTGCCGAGGCCCAGAGCTTGGCTTCGAAGCAATTGGCCCACACGAGCCGAGCGCCTGGGAGGAGGCGCTTAAGTGCGAAACAAGCTGAGCATAAGTTCCAGGATGTCTGCCGCCCTTCCAGAAGGGGGCCGGGAGCTTTCTGAGCATTCTGAGTTGGTTGGCCAGATGGCAACTCTCCAACCCACTGTCACTAATGTATAAAGAACAAAACAAGAGCATGCCACACCAAGATGCGATCTTCAAGTAGCCACTTGCTTCCGCATTCAGTCCCAACACGCCTATGTATTTATGTATGCTGTATGCTACATAATATGCGCTGCAGGAATTTGAGATGTCTTTCAGGATTTGGATCACCCTTTCAAAGGCTACACCAAAAAGGGAACACTTGAGGCCACACACTTCCCAGCTTGGGATGACCAGGGATCTGAAGCTCTCTGCGGCCGCCTTCCGGCACTGAGGCGCGTGAGACTCCGAAGCTCTCCAGGACCTGGGTGCCGGTGGGTTTGACACAGGTGTCAGGTTCAATGGATCTCAGATTGTAGATTGATGTAAGTTGTAGGTATTTCCCTGGATGTCCCGATAGTCGAAGCCAAATTAGTTGAAGTTCATCTTCTATCTTCTGCCTCAACCCTGTTTGCACCATCCGCATTCCACCGCCCGACGTTGGCTGTCCAAAACACGGACAAAATGAGCCGTTCAGCGCTGGCGCCGGCGCCGGTGTAGTTGGCCTCCAGCGGTCTTTGCGCTATTGGAGCCCTTCTTGTTACTAGTAGTAACAAGTGCATCGCTTCTAGTAACAAGTGCCTTACTAGTAGAAACAAGAAGCTAGTAGTAACTAGTAGCTTTAGTAGCTTCTTTGTTACTAGTAGCCATGGCCTCCACAAAAAAAAGGGGAGAAGCAAGTGGAGAGAGCTTGGTGGCATGCTGGGCGCTGGGGGCACCTGGGCTTCGCTTGAAGGTCTGACAAAACGATGAGCTCCAGTCTAAGCTTTTAGGTCAATTCACCCCTTGATCCTTGATGAGTTGAGGGGTCCATGACCATGTCCCATTGGCTGTGACAATGCCTCAATAGTAAAAACAAGCGAAACAAGGACGTCTTGCAAGGTGTGTCGAGGTCCTTCACTATTCCAACTGTACCTTTCCCAATCCCATTCCTACCTCCTATCGTTCCCACACAACTACAATTTGGCAAGGGAGCATTGCCCAGTTTTCTGCACTGCTGATCCCCCAAACAAAACATGCAACCTGGGCGGGTCTCACCGTTTTACATATCACGAAAGTGCGAGATTCCCTCTGCAGCACTTCATGCAACAGGAAACCCCACAGTCTGACCGTATCACCAGGCCTGGTTGATGCGCCAGAAGAACACACCGCCTCCGAGCCTGCTCGAGCGTCACTGAACATCCGTCCTGTCTACACCCACAACGACACAGAGTGCTTCGGGGCAATGGACCAGTTCACCCTGGCAGCCCAAACACTCGCTGGATGGTGAAAACTCGAAAGTTTGTTCTGGAACAAAGGCTGCAAAACCTGCCACGTGGGATTTGAACACCCCGACAACCATCAAACATGCTTATGCATTAAACATGCTAATGTATTGCACATGCTAGTCTCTCCGGTACACCCTGAGGCTGTTTGGAATATGACTCGGTTTACTCAGAATTGGCTGCCTGCCAGGTCCAAACCTGAATCGTCAAAGGCTGCTATTAAAACAAGCATCATAAATCAATCACGTACAGCCAAGTTGCCTGCACACCTTTGCAGCCCCCATTAAAACAAAATCTGGCCTTGTTAATGCCGATGCCTCCGCCCAAAAAACAAAGAGCATCTTCAAGAATATAAATATATACATATATATTAATTGTACCTAATAATGTTTAATAATAATAGCCTTGAAGTATATAAGTGGTGTCTCGCCCCCGACCTGTCTGGCGATCTGGAACGCCGGCCACTGGCCATCGCGGGTTGGAGCGCCGCGGAGAGAGACCATGAGAGCCGGTTTCTTCCGGCGCCAGTGGATGAGAGTAGTCGATGGACCTTCCAGCATGGGCCACATGAACCCTCAAAATGACTTTGAAAGAAAAAGGGCTAGACCTCTAGCAACAGTACTGCCTGATGAATCCTCCTCTAAAATGGTTAGTGATAGTGGATCTCTGTGGGCTTGTGCCATGTGCTTCGGCTTCAGTTTAAGCAGTGTTTAGTCCTTCAATCACACCAAGGTTAAGCAAAACATATTCTACCATACCATCTGGATTAGCATTATGGGTGGTATAGGATGTGGCTTGAGCGGTGGTAAACAATCGCCGGCTGGCTCAAGAAGCCCAAAAACAATTGAATAAACTTGACCTTGGAACTACTTCTTGTATCTTCTTGTGGTGATGTGGTGCTTGTTTGCGGCACCTGGAAATCGGATGAGGCAGCCTCTAGTGCTATGGCTACTAAGCAAGCCCCTGGAGCTGGGTTGCAACTCATAGCCTCCGAGACCTCGCCTGCCCACACAGCCAAATCAACAATGAAGGCTTGAAGGGCCATGGGCAAAGCAAGCCTTTGTGTTGCCTGAAACCTGAAATCTATGTAGACCCGGAACCTTATGGGAAAAAAGGCGGGTCCCGTCGAGCAAGGAATCTGGACCGGCACGAGTATTTTGATCATGTTGATTCAACTGTTTGCCTGCCGTTTGGAAACGAAACCCTCCGCACACGATTTCAGGCTTTTGCGTCGAGGCTCACCGCACGATGAGCAGTCGTTCGCAGGATCCGGCGCGATCCAGTGAGACGGGGCTGACAGTTTTGGGTCCCGGCGATTCACCAGCTAAGTCAACGAGATGCACCAAAGCACGGCACTGTTTGACCGGCCTTTTGAAGATGCAACATCGGCTTGCTTGTCTGCCCCCAAGGCCACCCAATACAAGGATGACAAAATGGCCAACACGCAAGGGACATCAATCCAGAATCTAACTTTGACAACGATATGACAACGGCCTATTCGACACATCTTTGTGTTATGGTGTGGATTACTGTATGGAATTATAAGATATAACCTCCGCGCGTTGAGAACACTCATAAACCTCTTGGCACACCTTCCTTTCAAACGCGTTGCTCTGCCATCACATTCCAGGCACCTCAACGACCCAGTTCTGCACACTGCCAGGCGATCACCGGGCTACTGGGCGCAAATGGGGCACTGCTCCAGCGGCACGGCTGGCACCGCTCCAGGGGAGATGGTTCAATTGGATCAAGCGGATGACTCGTTCAGGTTTGCTGGCAGTGGTACAGTGGTACAGTGGTACAGTAGAGTTCCATCTGTGTTTACCGCTTCTTTGGGAACCAATGCCCAAAAGAAGGTTCAAGCTTAACCATGCCTAACCTATTAGCCAAAGACATCCAAAGACTCAAAGACTGTCTGTGGGGTGTGGCGAAATTGAGCAAAAGCCATGGATTCCCTCATTGCAGTGGTGCTTTGGCATGTCTTTCTTCCTTCACTATCTTCACTCATCATGTGGTGAAGATCGTCAGAAACCCACAGGTGCCAACCACAAGCACATGAGCAGGCCACTCACGCCAAGAAGACCACAAAGAAGATCACCTTGGTGCACCACATGCGGCCAGGTGCGTCCAGGTGCTCGGGGTGGGATTCGCATAGATATTCGGTACAGAAGAAACATGGAGTGGATTCGCACCAGTTCCAAGCACCACAGAGATCCAAAGCTCTCCAAAACTCTGTGATGTTGTGTGTGCAGGTTTTTGGTGGCCACACTGGTGGCCACCTTTCCTAGTGCTCATCGCGGAATAGGTTCATTGCCTCAATGGGTCACCACGCCATACGTTTTCCGGGCCCACACCCTCTGCAAGATCATCTGAGCTGATTGTGGCACAATACTTGTCTCGGCAACCTACGGACGCCCTTTCAACAACAAGCCTATTATATAGCAGCACTGCCGGCATTCCCACAAGGACGGGTGCTTTTGAAAGACTCAAAAAGTTGTTGGGTTGTGCACTGAGGGGGTCGATCCTTTATGATTGCTTTCCCGACTTCGGATTCCACCGAGGGGTGCACAAAGAAGATCAGGATCAGGAAGACCTTGATAATGAGTGCACCTCGGTTTGGCTTCGACTTGGGCAACGTACATTGGGTCGAACCCAGGGGGAGACCTCTTGAGTCGTCTCAGCCTCTTGAGGAAACCCAAGTTAAACCCACCTAGCAGAAAGGACAACAAAGCAGAGCCTGTCGGTGGAGGGAACCTCCATGTGTCCTGTACAAGTCTTGGAGGTGCCAAAACGGGGCTCCATCCGGTTGAAGCAAACATGTCAGGTGTCGTGTCTGCGGTATTACTTTGACTGGACAACTCCCACAAAATCATCTGACCTAGGAGGGCCCCTCTGGTGCCGGAGAGCTCTTTGTTGCATCAACGTAGCACATTCTCTTGCATGCATGCTGCATGCAGAGCCGCATGCCCATCAGCAATACGAACACTTTTGAAAACAATCGTGAACAAGTTGTCCCAGATCGACGAAAGCGTTGCGCATATTCCACGAACCTGTGGGGCCATTGTTTAGCCGAAAAAGCTCTGAGTCTCGTGCGGTTTGAAGAAATGTAGTGGAAGTATTGGAGCAGATTGTCCTGCCAAGTTTCTTGGCAGGGTCGCAATCCTCTCGATTGATCTTGATAATGCCGTCCGGAGCGTCTTAACAGCAAACATCCCGAGCAGACTAGTTCAAGTTGTTGTTCCTTTTGTATATAAGTGATATAAATGTCCTGAAGGCTGGTGCGCAATGCTTTCTGTGACCGAAACGCACCGTCCTGTGCTTTCTTGGTGTTGTCTAAGGTGTCGTCCAGGTCGTGGTCAATCCGTTGGATCATCTCTTCTTGCGCAGTGACCATCACGGCCATCCTCGAGATTGATCGAGGTGATCATGGCAGGTACATGCAGGTACTGTAAGATTCCATGGATGCATTGCAAAAAAATAACATAGGAGTCAGGAGTTTCTTCCAACAAAGAACCACATGAAACCTCGTCAACCGAAATAAAAGTTCTTGAATGACATGTTATATAGTGGGTGGGGTGTTTAGTGGGAGGTCCATGTGGAAACGAGCACACATTGAGACGACACAATGCGAAACCAGGTGCGAAAGGACAACCCACAGGTGGAAACCTGTGCGTGAATTTGGACAACTCCAACGCACGCCGCTTCCCCAAAGCCACCCATCACATTGATCTAAACATGCTTCCGGCGGCAGGTCTGCCTCATCTGCATCCCGCAGACGAGCTGTGTGCTACTAGCATCTGACTAGTTGGTTCGATTCCGAAGGCCCTGTAGACTTGGACAGGTGACTTGGCTGTGATGACACATGGTTATCGCAGTAGACTCACCAGGAAGTGATTTCATGTCCACGTTGGGACACCCCCCAAGTTCCGCATGTGGCCGACAAACCTCCTTGCCCCTCACCACCAATTGTCGCCCAGGCGTCTTTTGGAACATCTGAGCCAACTCTCCGATGGTCTTCTGGACGCTCTGCACTGCTTCCGCACGCGAGCTGTGGTAGCCTCAGGGCCGTGATGCCGGATCAAGTGGCCGAGGTGGAAATGCAAACCTTAGCGGCATCTGACCCGTCGGAAGTCCCTAGTAGCTTCTTGCTCCTAGTAGTGATGCCAGGAACCCCTAGTAGCTTCTTGTTACTATGCAAACTGAAAACCCTTTTGAGCTGGTAGAGCGACAGTTTTGTTCCACCTTCTATCCTGAACAGTTGTGGGGATCCACTGAGTTAGAAACGAGGCTGCTTGGACTACAAGGCCTGCTGTCGAAGGCTGGCAGAGGAACTCCTTTGCATGATGTCCAATGAGTTCGCGTGTGGATTTCACATGGGAACCAACTGCCTTCCGCAACAGAATCCCTCTTGCCGAATCGACCTTCCCAAGGGAACCCTGATAGAAGGAGTTGATAATGTTGATATACCACCGCAGGTAGACTTAGAAGAATACGTCCTTTTAGGTTGTATTCTGCGGAAGGGGGTCTCAGTTGAAAAAACTTGTGCATATCAGAATTTCCAGCGAATCCCTTATCTGACCCACCTGGAAACAACAGCTTAAGCACACACTTCTCACGGCAGCGACGGACAAAGTCTATGGCCATGAGATAACCCACCCCCCGGGCAGAGCTAATATTAGAAACCCAAACAACAATGGCGGCAAACAATAGCAGATGGTACGTCACCACTGTCTGCCACATTTACTGTTCAAGTCTTCCTGCACCTGTGCCCATCTGGACTCATGCTGACGGGACTGTCTGCCCAGCTACCCTGCTGCATAGCCATTGCCCTGGCACCACCTCCGCCCTCCAAGTCATCAGCGTTTCCGGAGGGTGTCGGCCTGGCAAAGGAATTCTTGCAGCCAAAACGGTGATGGACCCGCTGACCCGCCCTGTGGGACCCACAGCGATGTTTAGGTTTTAAACGGATTGAGCTAGGTATGTCAACTCGTCTGAGAGTGAATCAAATCAGTCTGGTTGGGGACACTCACCAGTTCCGTGTTTCTTGGGTTTCGATGCCCTGTCACTGATTCCAAAGTCAGATCGAAGGCTGAGCTTCAAAAACCTTCCTGAACCTCTCTGGACAAAAGCACTGTGGGAGTGCGTGCAGGACGTTCAATCAGGGATGCTCGGGACTCAGGACTCGTCAGACTTCCTCATCCAAAGCAAGCTTTCTGCGGTGGCTGAGAGTGCCTTCCGCGTAGGCACCAGCCCAATACAAACCAGAGACTCACGTCCAAAAAATAACCAAACCATGTACCTAGCACGCCGCGCCTCTGCCGTCCAGCGAAGGGATTGGCGGCATTGCCCTGCCCGGAGGAGTACATCTGTCTCCTCTTGTCCTGTTTGGGTGCCCCTTTGTTGCACAAGCAGCTGTGCCGAGCTCAATGAGGGGTGGCTATGATGTGGGATGGGCCATAAACTGAGAATTGGGTGCCTATCCTTGTTACCAGTAACCGTGGAT